GTGTATTTTCTCCTTTTCAGAGTGGCAGATTAACCCAGTCCAGTCTGCTATAGCTGTGAGAAGGCATCAAAGGCTATTAAAGACATTCCATATGCAGCAACAAGGTTTGGGATGAAGGACTAAAAGGTAGGAGAGGTTTGTTTGCTGGTTCTTGATTTTGTTTAAAGGTTTCATTGGCGGCTTGGTTAGTTTTGTAATGGTCTGGGCTCTTCAACTTATATATGTTTATGAATAAGAGTATCCTTGTACACTGTATAATAATAAATTATATTTATTATGTTGATAAAAATATTTTATATAAATATAATATATAAAATTTATATGAAAATTAATTTTTCCCCTCAAAAAAATTTTTTTTTGAACTGGAGAAAATTTGAGGGAAAGGGAGAATAAAGAGCTGTTATTGCAGCTTGAACTATGATCAACGTCAAGAAGTAGACGCGCCCGAACCAAGGCAGCCAAAGCTGCGGGTGCACGTTCTTTCCCTCAAATTATATAAATTACAATGGTTGAAGTTGTAATTTCAAATCACTTGATTAATAATTACGAAGGATGACAAGCCATGGGAAATATGAAGTTCCCCCTCACGTTTGTTGAGGATAGGAGTTCTTTTTTTTTTCATAAAAAGAAAAAGATATGAATTTTTCTCATGTATAGAAATGGAACAATCAAACAAATCGATTGGAGTTAGGATATGAGACTAACCGGAGAAACCGAGTAAGTTCGGTAGCTCTAACAAGATCATTGTTCTCCCTGGCCTTGAGGATCTGGAACATAAGGGCGAGACGAAGTTGGGTGTTCTTGCTCTGCATTGTTATCTGCCTAGTTTCCTCGCGGAGCTGCTTGCATTCTTCTTCCATCGCCTCAAATTTTTCCCTAACTTGCCTCTGCCCTTCCCTTATCTGTTTCTGCTCCTCACCTATCTCTTCCATTTCCTTTTTCAACTTCTTCATGCTCCTCTCCATTTTCTCCATAGTTCTCTTCCTCCGCAGCTGCAATTAAAACATTAATTATAAAAATTTTCAATTTCCCTTTCATTCTCCCATCCAGCAGCCTCAACAAAATTGTAATGGCTAAACCTGACATAGACATGGCTGAAACTTTCATGTTCGAACCTTAGAACATTCGATCAAATTTACCCAAAAAAATTATAAGTTTATTTACCTGTTGTTCGGTTCGTGAACATCTGGAGAAACGTTTAGGAATGAGGAAAGTAGAACTCCTCTTGTCTCTACTTTTTCCATTGGTCCTACAAACTCCATTTCCGTACATCTTGAGGAAAGCCATTATATACCTGTCTAATTAAAATGGCCTTGTTTCTGAACTCCTCCTTTTACTTAGTAATTAGAGCGTGAGCCGTGAGGCTACCGACGCATTTCCTCCATTTATATAGCCCTGAGTCAACTTTGTCCGCTCGACCACGCGCTCTCCCAGCGGCGGGGTTAGGGGCCAGCCCTTCTCTTAATAAAAAATTAAAATATATGTCACTTTTTTATCTTTAAATAATTATTTTTTAAAATTAAAAATTTGAGATAATATTTATAGACAACAATATATCAATCCCCACCTGTTCATAAAAATTGAAGTTCTATGTTCCAACGGCACCGTTTCATTTAAAATTAATCCCCCAGCCTTTACCATTTTCACCCTTTTTGCCGCTGCCATTCTCCATCTCCACGCTTTCTGTGATTCATCATCTCCACGCCTCCTACAATTCAATCAATTTGTTCGACACAATCTACAGCAAGCCCATAATAGATCAACAATGAGGAGCTTGAAGCTAGCAAAGCAAAGGTCCAGTTTTAGGCTCCACCCCACTAATGGCTTGCAGAGAGAGAAGTTTCATAACACAGAGAGTCAAAGAAATCTAGTTTTATGGGCAATGATATTGTGCATCATGATGTTAAGGCCGTTTTACAAAGCTTTCCCTCGATTCCTTCTCTGTTGCCTTCGCTGTGGCTTTTGTCAAACAAATTGAATGAATTGCAAGGGAAGGCATGGAGAAGATGAATCGGAAGAAAATGTGTAAAGAATGATTTTTTTATTTAAAAATGTTAATTTTATTAGTTTTTAAATAAAAACATTAATTTTATTAGTTTTTATTT